ACTCATGCTCATGCTCCAAGTTTTGTTTTGTTTTGTTTCTTTGTTTTGTTAGCTTGCCACCACGTTGGCCTTTTTTGTTAAAGTCTTTTTAATTACTTTAAGTTTGGTCTGCCTGCCTGCCTGCATTTTGGGTTCTCCTCACCAGCAAGTCGTGACAAGTTAGTTAAAGTTAGTTGAGCTTTGTGCACAGAAAAACCTAAAATGTTTATAATTCCATCTCATATCATTAAAGTTAAAACTCTTTTGATGGAAGACATTATTTAGTGTTTGGACAAACCTTTTAGAGACGTAAGCAGAAGTGAAATGACTCCACAGGAAACAACACTGGCACTGCAGATTGATATAATCCCTTTTTTTTGACTGTCTCATAAATAAATCTCTCAAATCACATATTTCAGTGAGGTTATTTTACGATTGCAGCTATTTAAATAGCTGTTTAAACTGTTCCTTAGCCACATTTTTTTCTCTCTGAAATTTTCCACATGTTCAACATTCTGGTGTGACAGAAAACRGAAATAAAATTCTTTAGGATAAAGTTTTTATTTTTGTTTTTGACACTCAGCATAGCTTTCTTTCCTCCCAAATTTCTTCGGACCCCCTTCTGTCATTCAAAATGCTAGAACCCCACCTTGAAGCTTCGTGCAGGATGCCTGACAGAAAGTACTCTGTATTACACTCCCAGAGGTGGAGTCGCCTGTTTCTCAGACAAGAGGAAGAAAAGAAAACTCTTCTTTGAAAAATTGTCTTTTATTACTCTTGTCCATGTGTGTTTGAGGATTTTTTTATTCCACCCACAGAATGCAGTGAAGGCAAATAATAAACTGATCACAAACTCAGGAGGAAGCTGCAAGTCCAAAAAAATAGTTATTMTTGCATTTGTTTTGTTGTAAGAAAAAAAACCCCACTATGTTCACTTTATGAGCTGGGGACTGATCTTTGTGCGCAGCATGCTAACTCGGCTGCAGGTTCTCTGCTGTGTTCTTTCCAGTCTAACCCTGCAGAGTTATTATCATACTGATGATTTTAGCATTGTTTGTGACAAAGCCTCACAAATGAATGTGCTCTCTTCAAAGAATTTCTAATGAAACTGCTGTTGCTTGAGAACAAAGTCGCAAAACTACAAAAGTATTGTRGACAGACTGACAGTATTCAGATAACAAATAAAGGCATTCATTGAAGGAACTCATGTTGCCCGTCTGTTTTTCATGCATGATTTTTAAATTAAGATTATGATGAAAAATGACAGAATCAGTATCTGTATCCTTAATTCAGTGATTCAGTTATTTTTCTTCATACACTGTTAGGTTACCTCTGCACCAGATAATACAGCTGCTTCATATCTACAGTGGTTTGCAAAAGTATTCATACCCCTTGAACTTTTCCATATTTTGTCACATTACAACCACAAACATAAATATATTTCACTGGAATTTAATG